TATATATATATATATATATATATATATATATGCGGCGGGACGCATGTTAGCGTTTCATACAAAAAACTAAAATTCTTAGCCAGATTGTAACATATTTCATTTTCGACCATGATTTGAGAATGAGGCCGCACTTTATAAAATGCCTAGACGTTTTATAAAACGACGGATTATGTAATCTGGCTACAACATATATATCAACAAGCATTATTGGAAGATCTTTTTTCCTACAGAAGCAACAAATCGTGAAGACTCCAATCACGTCGTATATTAATTCTTGACAATCTTCGCATAAAAAGTTTATCTATTTTTACCACGACAAAACGTATAAAAACATACCTATCCGTATAATATGGATCGCTGCAATTCTTGAAAAAAGATAAGAATAACAAACCATTTTGCATGATCTATTAATCATGAATTTTCCAAGAATAGAGCAGTCTTAAATCTATTATGTAAAACGTGTGAATGTAATCTCTTGCACGAATCTCCCTTTTTTCTCGAACCTTGGAAATCTCCACTACTGAGATCGAAATGATGAAAGAATGTTTAACAAATAATAGAACAAAAAATAATACAAAGATCAAGTAAACAGATAGATTACTCATTCTCTGAACAGTCTGGCAATTGACGTGAGCTCTAAAAATAACATGTTAAAAATACTTAATAAAAATCTCGTATTATTTACAAATTTCCTATAATCCAATTTTTTTCACTTCATTAACATTTCTAATATCGATATTAAAAAACATATTTTAAAATATTGAAAATAATTAAATTATTAAAAATTTCTCTCTCAAATCTTTGTTTTTTCTTGCATTACCTGTCAAAAATCAGAAATTAATTTAAGTAAATAAGAAATTGCGACACGCTTTAAGCTAGTAATATCTGTACACGAGAAACAGTAATCTTTCGAAATCTTTAAAATATATGGAGCGAAATCTCACTTCAGAACAGAGTTAATAGTATGTGCACGTACATCAAATATTACTAACCTACGCAATAATATTTGAAATAACTTGTCCTCGTAAAAATTTGAGATGCGCACAAAAAGTTAAATAATCCTAATAATAATATATTAAATATAAATAATATTAGAAGATATAAAGAAAACATTTTTTTAAATATTTTTCAGACAATTTCTTATGCCGCTGATCCTCAAATATTGAAGACATTCTATGATGATTATGCAAGTTGTCTCGAAGAATTGAATGTGCAGCGTGAGTATCGATAATGTTATAATTAAATATTGGATTTAAATGGGTATAAATTATAATATAAAATATAAAATATGTCATATTTATTGAATTGAGCCAAAAAGAAGATTTTTGTGTTTCACAGTTTTTGAATTAAAATTATAATCGCAATAGGCATTTCCAAAACAAGCTCTTCAATATTTTTCTTTCAAAATAAAAAAGAAAGCAAAGAATTAATTTTCTCTCTTCGACTAATAATTTTACTATTTTAAAACTAAATTTAATAATAAAATGCGACAAATTTTTTCCAAGAATTCCACTTTACAGATGGCAATATTAAACAAATAAATTGTATATTTAAATATTTTTAAACAGATTTTAGACTTATCTAAAACTTATCTAAAACTGATCTAATTGCCAAATACATATAAAATTATATTATTAAATTTGTAATTTATATATTTCAGAATGGACACCGGAAGTTGTAAAATGTAAATTTCAAAAGGATGGACTGGTACGTTTGTACATATACATATAGATAAATTATCATATTGATAAGATATACACAATTTACACACAGAATAATTTTGCACAAAAGTACTAATATTATTTTATTTCGTAATTTAAAAAAAATAAACTATAACACAAATAAAGTTCAAACATAATAATTTAAGTTTTCAAACAATAATTATAAGATATGTATAAAAACTATTCATATCAAAAAAGAGACCAATTGATTTATTTCTTTACACGATAAATAAAATTGATTCTAACTATGTTTATAAAATAAAAATTATAACGTTTCGTGAATACTAATAATTCTTGATATAACTGATAATAATTTTCGATATTAATACAACAAGTCTAACATTTATGGTATTAAAAATCATAGTTAAATTTGAATTTTAATCAAATTTGATTTTAATTTGTCTTAAAATTTTGTGTAGCAGGCATAGTTAGCAATTATTTTAATTTTAAATGCCATTAGCAATTAACTAATAACATGTTATTATTTATAATCAAAAAAGAAAGATGGTCCTAAAATTAATTGCAATATACAACTAATTTAATTGTTTAAAGAGAAAAAAGATTAGTCCTACTTGCAAAACGGTTGGCAATAACAACAATCATATGTTTACTATATAATTACAAATTTTTTAAAAATTCGTATTTTGAATCATTATTTGTGTATAATGATGTTTGTAAATAAGCAATTGCTCTGCTATTAAGATTGTTCGACAATCAAAGTTGTTAAAAATGCGATATAAAAGTGTTTGTCAAAAAGTAGATAAACGATTGACAATCCCAGCAAGAAATTTTTTATAAGCGGATGCAATCTTTCACTTCATAACGTGACATAGAAAAAACAACATCACCGCATATCTCATCTAGTTCTTATGAAATTTTTAACATTTTTCAATCGTAACTTATAAATATATCACACAAAAATAGTTTTTACATTAATTATAAAAATGGATCTTTCTCAAATCAAAATACGCTTCAATTGTGTATTTTGATTAAATCATGTGCCATTTGAACAATTTTTGTAAACTTATAAATCCCTTAAATTTGTTAATAATAATAAATAAATAATACTATTTTATCAATCCTTCAGATTGACGAACAAGGTGTAATAAAAAAAGACGAACTTTTAGCAATATTCAACCTCATCATTTCCGATGAGACCAACTTAAGTCAAGCAAAAGAGATTACTTCCACTTGCATCGATCAAGGTGAATGAAATATATATTTAGTAATACATATTTTGAGTATGATTGACATAGTGTTATTTATCATATATTATTCTAAATTACTATTTTATTATGTATAACATTATTGTCATATATGTATATTACTTTATTATTCTATATCGCGCGTTATTTAATTTTTAATATATTATTATTTATATATCGCTTATTAATATAATAACAGCCAATAAATCGCTCCAAAATTTAAGCTATAAACTATGTTTTTTCATTTCT